TCCCCACCTCTCCGTGGGAGGAGCGTCAAGGACTCTTCAGCCAGCTTTAACTCACCAGGAAGAGGGGCCATGGAGGCAGCAGGGGGAGAGAGGGGCTGGCTCTCAGGTCCCGCAGAGCCTTGAAGGTTGTGTTAAGGATTTTGAATGTTCCTTTCTGTACACTGTGAAGCCACCAAGGAATTTTAAGCAAAGAAATTCACTGCTCCCACTGTGCTACCTAAGTTTATAGCTCACAGCTTCTGTGCCCATTGTCACACCCACCTCATTGCATTTAGTTTAGCTGAGGCTAGGATAACCTTGTATGTTTTGTTTTTTTTTTTTGGTTGTTGTTGGACAATTTCTTTCTTTCTTTCTTTTTTTTTTCAAAAACACCTTTATTGTGGTATGATTACCGTACTGTAAACTACATATATTTCAGATACACAATTCGATGAATTTTGAGAGATGTATACACGCATGAAACCGCCACCATAATCAAGACAGCTAACATGTCCATCACCCCCCAAGAGGTACAGATTTCGAATTCCCAATTTATCCCTTCCCACCCTCTTTACCCGTGGTAACCATAGGTTTGTTCTCTATGTCTGTGAGTCTGTTTCGATTTTGTAGATAAGTTCATTTGTGCCCTTTTTTTAAAATATTCCACATATAAGTGATATCATATGGTATTTTTCTTTCTCTTTCTGACTTACTTCACTAAGAATGACAGTCTCCAGGTCCATCCAAGTTGCTGCAAATGGCATTATTTTATTCTTTTTTATGGCTGAGTAGTAGTCCATTGTGTTTGTATGTATATATCACATCTTCTTTATCCTGTCATCTGTGGATGGACATTTGGAGGTACCCTTCTATTCTGCTTATTGCAAATGCCAAGTGAAATCAATGTGAAATACATAAATATATTGATTAAATAATTGATTATCTAAAACAGCTGGAATTGTAGGGCATCAGTTCAGTGATTCCCAAACTTTAATGTGTCCATGAATCTCCTTATTAAAAGGCAGGCTCTGATTCAGTAGATCTGAGGTGACCTGAAATCCTACATTTCTACCAAGCTTCCATGCTACAGTTTACACATTCAGTAGAAAGTGTTGAAAAGTCATTGTATGTCCAAATGCTTTTAGCTGAAAGAAAGAGAGAAAGGATTTGGGTACCGAACACTGAGAAGTGAGGTGATGTCATCTAGGTCAAGTCTTCTTCCTGTCATCCTGCTCTGCTATCCTCCTCACCTCCTTCACCTTCACCTTAACGCTAGGGCCTTTCATGACCTCTGGTGGATGCTACAGTTCCAAGGTGTCACTTCTGGACACCACAGTGTCCAGAAAGAGAAAAATACTGTTAGCTATGTATGTCTTTTACTTAGGAGAAAGGAAGCCTTTTCCTAAGGTCTCCCAGAAGCCTTTTCCTAATGTCTCTGTGGCCAGAACTGAGTAATATACTCAATCATAAATCAGTGGTGGGCAAGAGGTTTGGCAATTCCACGATTGGTGTAGACTAATCAGAATCTACTGCTGGAAGTACGGTCTAGGGAACTGGGGATTAAGGAGAAGCTTTAGCAAAGTTGGGGTTCTGTTTGTAAGAAAGTAGACAACTAATGGTGTCCACTACACAATAATATGCCATTTGCTTAATTGACTGTATGAGACCTACGTATTATATCTGTATCCATACCTAACTACCTATATACCTTTACACATAAAAAAGGGAATTTGGCAAACTTAGTTGAAAACTTAAGGGCAAATCAAAAAGCATTACCCAGTACCCATTAAAAAGTGCATGGAAACAAGCATTTGATGATTTCAGCTCAATCATGGTGACTGGAAAGGTCTGGAAATATGGGAAACATAACCCCTGTTCTGAAATCTACAACGTTATTGGGGCAACAAAACAGAAAGAACTAAAGCAATATACTATATAAGCAAATGATTTTTTTTTTTTTACTCACTTGGCCGACAATTACTGTGTAATCCCTACGAACAATTAGTTGTGTCAAGGGCTGTGGTAGAGGCAAAGATAAAGCACCTCTCCTCCTAAGAATTTTGCAGCTTAAAACACACAGATAATGAGGGATTCTGTATATTAAAAGTGTGAAAAAAAGATGACAAAACAAAGTGGAAGGAAACAGTTCTTCTGGTCTGGAGGGCTAAGGGAAGGGTAGAGGATATACCATCTCCAGTGATAGGTTTGAAAAACAGGGAGATTTTTAATCAGTGATGGTGGTAGGTAGAAGAAGGGAAATGGAGAGTGGGAAGATGGAAAAAAATGACCATTCCCAGTGGGAGTAGGGAGAAAACAAAAGCATATGCAGTGCAGGTGATGTGGGTGTGGGAAGGGCAGGTATCCTTATTGGATTCCTACTATAATCTCTTATCAACATGAAGGAACATATATGCAAATGTCAAGTCATTCAAAGAGGGAGTGAGCCAAGGACAGCTCCTAGGAAGAGAGAAGCCGGAGTCGTCTGTGTAAAGAATAATGTTTATGGGTGAGCAGGGTGGAGTAGACAGGGCAGGAAGTCTGAGGAGCTGGACCAGTTTCATGGTTAATAACCCCTACATATCAGTATTAGGACAGAAACAGTTTTTTCAATGAATAAATTGCAACAACAGCAAAAACGGTAAGGAGGGAGAATCTATTGGTTAAAAGAGATCTAAGGGACATATAAAATCTATTGTAATGTGTGGATTTTATTTGAATTATGATTCAAACTGTCAAACTAAAAAAAAAATCCTTATGACATATAAATGTCAGCTGAGTACCAGGTGTTTGAAGATGTTAAGAAATTATTGTGATTTTTTTAGATAAAGGTATTGTGATTATATTTTTTTAAATAGTCCTTATCTTTTGGAGGTATATTCTGAAATATTTATGGTTGAAATGATGCCTGGGATTTTCTTCAAAAAAAATACAGGGAGTAGAGGAAAGGTATAGATGAAACAAAACTGGCCATGATTTGATCATTGTTGCAGGTGGATGTTGAAGGTTCATCATACTATTCTGTCTGCCTTTGTATATGTTTAAAATTTATTATAATGGAAAGCCTAACCCGAACTTTTAAAGCAGGGCGTCGAGGACTGAACGTCAGTCAGGGAAGCTCCACCCACTGAGCTTGGTAGGCTCCGCCCCCTTCTGCCCGCCGCCATCCACTCTCCCGCGATCCATTCTCAGGATGTATAGTGTATACGTCTCCCAACTATCTCATTTCCCCTCGAAAATTCATTGGTCTTGCACCTCATAAGTCCTTCTATGTCTTCTTCCTCAGTCCCCAGAGACTGCTCCGAGTCCCCAGAAGTGACCCACAGCCTCTGGACCTCGAGCCGCGACCGCCCGTATCCCCCCCACGTCTCTGGGGAGTTTGGTTGCGTCCGGGAGGCGACGCCGTGAGCGCGTCTGCGTCGTCATGGCGACGCTCCCGGCAGGTGGCGGCTCCCGCGGCTTCCCGCCAGGGAACCCGCGCCAGTGCGAGGGGCCTGGGACCCGGGCCCGGGAAGGCCCCCGTGGTGGCCGGCGACCTGCGAGGCAGCCTGAACCCCGAGCGGGTGTTCTGCCGGAAGTCAGCCTGGGTCGGGGTCGGAGGAGAGGTGGGGTCTAAAGGGTTAAATGAGGATGGGGGTGGCGCGTGGGCCTGGGGTCTTGCCTACCCCTAACAGGGGATAGAGTAAAGGGGTGCTGAGGGGAACAGGCTTTTGGCAAGAGTGAGAGGACCTGCACCTTGGAGGATGGGGTGACGAAATCGAGTATAGGGGTGTGTGAGAAGGGGGACAGTTCACTTGAGGCTGAGTGACCTGGGATAGGGGCTTGGGTGAGAACGGTTAGCCATTGTGCCTGCCTGGAGTGCAGGCAGGGAATTTGAGGGGAGGGGCTGGAGGGTGACCCTGGAGCAGGCGAGGTGGAAGCTGTGCTGAGGAGTAGGGCGGCTAGTGAGAGGGGCTGGGCCAGGAAGAGAAAGGAGAAACTTTTCAGAAAATGATTATTAAGCACCTTCTTAACTGTAGTCGGTGTATTTTGCTTAATGCTGTAGACTCTTTGGGGAGTCTAAATCTGTGAGCTTTCTTGAGGGGTGAGTATAACTCAGTGGTAGAGCGTATGCTTAGCATGCAGGAGGTCCTGGGTTCAATCCCCAGTACCTCCAAATAAACTTTTTTTTAATTTAAAATATAATAAAGCTATGAGCCTTCTCAAAAGAAAAAAAAAGCACATAAAGATCCACACACGATTTTACATTCAATTTCAGGGGCTTCACAGAACAGCTCCCCAAGATTAGCGGCTTGGCTATGGAAGATACAAAGACGTGTGGGATTTATAAAGTGCCATCACAAGGCAATAAATTATTAACGCCAAATAAGTAGTGGAGGCAGTAATTGCTAAAGAATGTTAATGGATATTGGAATCAGTGTAGACTTTATGAAGAAGGTGGAACTTAAGATGAGTGTATGAAGGGAAGGCCAGTCTGGCAAAGGGTGTGAGAGGCACGGGGACCCTCAATGGCAGTGGAGGAGGTCTATAGCTTCTCCACCTCATCTCTCCAGTGAGAGGCCCAGGAAGGTGGCTCATAAATGCCAGTGTCCTGTGAACAGGGTCTCCAAAAGTTAAAGGGTTTCCTGTACTTCACGTACTTCTAAGAAACCGATTTAGAAATCTCAGAAAGAAGAGCCCTGTTTAACTGTGTACTTTCACATTTTCCAAACTTAGTTGTCTGTGAGAGTCTTTATTTTTCCCTTCTAACCCCTACTAACAGCTCAAGAAGCATCAGGACTACACTTTGGGGAAAATCCTTGAGAATTAAGGACCACAGAAGGGGTTTGAACAATGGCTCAACATTGGTTTGATGTGTGATGCCAGATTAATTGGGACGGTGTGTGTAGGAATGGAGTGGCCGGGAGAGAGACTGGGGGCAGAGGAAGCCTGAGCCACAGCAAACCTCACAGTGACAAGAGGTACATTGGTCAAGGTGGTTTCCTGGGAAATGATTATACTACTCCTGTTTTCTTCCCAGGAAATGACATTTGGCTCTAAAAGGAAGATTCCATTTTTCATGATAAAATGGCAGCAGTGAAAACCCCCAGCAGAGAAGTAAAGACCGCAGAAGAACCATTTCATAACATGTCACCCCTCCTTTTAAGGAGCCTGGTGGAGGAGCCCAAGAAAAGAAAAGAAGTACCGAATTACCTCCTAGAATCAAGTAAGTGCTTAGAAAACAGATATGCTTTACAACTCACATCTTCCCAGGGGATCCCAAGTCCAGAAAGCCTAATGGGATTTGGGGGGCTGATTTATCTATATCATTTTATAGGCTCATAATAATTTTTATTATTAAGAACAGTGGTTCTATTAAGATCCATCCACTTAGCTAGATAGATGGTGTAAATTAGTTGCCAAATTCTGTTGCTTCCATTTCCTCAAATACCTTTCTTTTCTGTCCCCACTGCCTTGTTCCGCATCCTCAGCAGGTCGCCAGGACTATTGTACATGTCCCTCTCCCTGGCCATACTCTCCTCCGGTCTGCTCTTCACACCCAGCAGGCTCCTTCCTGTAATCCATGTTGGCTTTGTCACTATCCCCCTTGAATATTCTCAGGCATCCTCTTGCAAAGAGAATAAAGTTGCAATTTCTTTGCTTGGCATTTGGCCCCCTTTGCCGTTGACCTGAACCTGCCCACCCAGTGCCCCTCCTGTCCCCAACTCCAGCCACACCTGCTACTCCTGCTTCTTCAAGACCACTTGCATTTTACACCTTCTTGCCTTTTTCCATGCACCTCCCTCAGCCTGGGAAGCCTGGTCAATCCTCAAGCTATTATGTATAAGGCTAGTCATTTACCTCCATTCTTCTCACTGAATCCATCAAAACATCATGATACGTTCTATTTCTTACTGTTGCGGAAGCTGAGACTCAGAAAGGTCAAATGAAGTCCCCAAGGTGCCACAGTGAAGTGGAGGGTTGGTGTTCGGCTGTTGCTGCCCCGTGTCCAGCTCTCCACAGTCACTAGATTGCTTCTCATCACCACTCAAGGCTCATGGCCAGGTCTGGAAATGTAGTACATGGTGGGGCTCTTTTGTCACTGTAGAACACGTTGAGCGCAAGTTGGTATACTTGACTGTTTCTGGGCATTGACAGAAAAATGCTCCTTTTACGTTTATTTTGTGGTCCTAAAAACAAAAACAAAATCTTTAGCATTAAAAAAAATTACCAAATAATGTTAATTTCAATACTTGAAAATTTACCAAATGGCCAACAGAGATCACGGTTCCCTGAGGCACCATCCTTCCCTTAATCCAGCCCTTCAGTTTGGCACGAAGCTGACGACCGATCCGCTGGGGAGGAGCAAAAATCATCAGTGACCAGTCACCTGCAGAGCAGTAAAGACACCAAGTTTCACACCCAGTTCAGATGTATACTAGAATCACAGTACTTGAAGGATGGGGTCAGGGTGTCTGGGGCTCACAGGATTTGGATATGGCCAAAGGTGAAAGGTTATCACGGAAACTGGACAGTGCATTTGTATTGAAGGAGAGAGTCTGCTGGTTGGAATCAAACAGGCCTGAGCTTGATTATTAACTGCCAGGTCTGGGTGAGTTGCTCAACCTTGTTGAGTCTCAGCATCCTCATGTACAGAATGGAAGGAACACCTGCCTCATAGGACTGGAATGAAGATTATAAACGAACGCCTGGCACCAAGCACGGAAGGCGCGGAAGTGGCTGTGTAGTGGGTTCCCAGCGTCTTTTCCATATGTCTCAGCTCTTGCTCAGTGAATTGCTGGTATCAGTTTTGTAGCCCTGGACACTTTTGTGAGCTCATCTGTCTTAACCTTCTTCTCAAAACTGGAGGTAAAAAAAAAAAGACATTCACTTGATAAGAGCAGTTTGAGCGATGATTATTCAGAGCTTTAGGATTACTCTATATCACACTGTAACTCAGTTCAGAGGAAATCAAATCAGAACAGTTAAACACACAGTAGTAAAATGAAACCCTTGGTGTTTGGATTCTTTGAAGCGGGTGTTCATTTCTAATAAGCAGCAACAGCTCTATACAGAAAAACAGGGCTTGTGGTCTTGATGAGCTTGGGTTTTAGTATGAAGACTTGTACCAAATGTGTTCAGAGCAAATTATTGTAATAGATAAGAAACAATAAATGTGAGTTCTTACTGTGATGGTGGTATCTCCCAAGTGATGTGTGAAAAGAGAGAGAGGGCAACGCAGTTCAGTTCATTTGGAACAGGTCGTTCATCTTGTTGACAGCTGTTATCCTCTGTCTGAAACGTTCATATGCTTAAAGTATCCTAAATTAAAGGGAGCCCATGTTAATAGGATCATCTTCCACTTAATATATTTTTTATGTCTCATCTCATGATATACTTATTTTCATTGTTTTTGTAGAGATTTATACACAACTTCTGAATAACAAGGTCATACAGGCAAAACCTGGCATATTGCATTTTGGAGGCTGTCAAGTAGAAAAACACCACCAACAGCTACTGGTAGGTACTTTCGAAGTGGGATAATTAATCATAGGAATGAAATGGCATGAATGTTCTGCATTTGTATTACTCATTTATTTAAAGAGCAGCATGATCAGTGGAAGTGCAGGTGGAAATTGGACCAGAAAGGTACGATGAGAGCTTTTCAAGGTGCATCAGCGTCCTTGGTCAAGTTCCCTCCGCACTGCTGAAGGCTCCTCCCAGCACTCTTTCCAAACAGGTGCTGTTGCGGAGTGACTCT